CTGTGAGTTCAAGGCCAGCCTGGTCTACATAGTGAGTTCCAGGACAGCTGGGGCTACAGGGAGACCCTGTCTCAAAAAGACCATAAAAAAAAAGAAAAAAAAGGAAAAAAAAAAGAAAATAAGGTTAAGTGAAGCAATGGCTTTTACTGAATAAAGCACCAGCAAACGTGTTACTAAGTAAAGTAACTGCTGTCAGATAATGTATCAGGAAGGGTATAGAAGAAAAAAAAGGGAAAAAAAAGAAAATAAGGTTAAGTGAAGCAATGGCTTCTACTGAATAAAGCACCAGCAAACGTGTTACTAAGTAAAGTAACTGCTGTCAGATAATGTATCAGGAAGGGTATAGAAAAATACCTAGGAAAATGTGTCTATTCTGATTTACTACTGTGAACAAATTCAGGCTCCAAGGTTTTGGCAGCATCAGTTATTCTCAATACAAACAATCTGATACAAAGAAGGTTAGTTGTGGAGCCTCCTTACTCTTGGCTTTGGCATTGTATACAATGGCTTGGTTTCTCAATGCAATAATTATAAATGGTTCTAAAGGGGGATCCCTCACAAACTCCCAAACCTTAAAAAGATCTTTGCGCCACAAACGGGCCCTGCTATGCAAACAAGTTTTTCCAAGATGACCTTCATCAAAAACTGCAGGCCCTAGGCCTTAAGTAAATGTCCCTAACCAAACTCTATTTACATACACAAATGTACCTAAATTCCCCTGCTGTTTGGCTGGTGTGACTACAGCAGACTCCTGCTGGTCAGTAGTCACCCCTCATTGACTAATAAAGCTCAATTTGGATTGTTGAGGTTGGTTGTTTTTCCTTTCCATTGGTGACTCTTTCCACTCCTATTCCTAACATTTTGGTACCAAAACCCAAGAGAGTTTTCAGCTTCCTAACAGGTTTATCTCTGTGTGCTTAATTTAAGAAGAAATCTTTTCTATCTGGTTATCAAGGTTTATGGTTTGTGTATGGTGCTTTAGGAGATAAGACCTTTAAGAGGTAGTACCCAATGAGGGGTCCTTAGGTAAACTGGGCTGTGCTTTCAGAAGGACTTGTGGGAACCTAGGCTCTCTGACAAATGTGACCTTTTCTTTTCTTTCCACATGTATTCTCTCCAGTGTAATGCCATCATCCATCATGATGTCCTCACCACATAATGGTTGACACCATACCTATGAAAACTACCAGTATGAGCTAAATAAATTTCTTTATCAAATAATACAATTTCAATATTTCACTATAACAAGATTTATGACTATCATAAAAAATTGATATGTGTAGTAGTTACTTTTTTGTTGCTGTGACAGAATATTTGACAGAAACAATTTAAGGAGGAAAGATTTATTATGGCTCGTGGTTCTGGAGATACAGTCCCACATGGTGGGAAGACATGGTGGCAGGAACAGCTTGCAGCTGGGGCAGCAGCAACATGGGGAGGCAGGCCTTTACAGCACTTTGACAGTCGGGAAGCAGGGCTAGATGTGGGGCTAAGCTAGAACCCTCAATGCCTACCATTCAGAGACCCACTTATTCCAACTAGGCATCACCTGTTAAAGATCCCACAATACCCCCAAACAAGCCATTGTCTGTGTCCCCAGTGTTCAAATACATGAGCCTACGCAGGAGACATTTTGTATTCAAACACTAACAATACTGAGGAATGAGGTCATTAATAAACTATGGCTGTAAAATCTAATTGAAAATTCTATCTCATCAGTTCTTATAACTCTTTAAGCAAGAGGTTCACCTTACTGTCATAAAGCAAGTTTGGAGTTACTGCATAAAGTTGCACTTTTATGGGTCCAGAACAAACCCTTGAAGGAATAAGCAGAGACTGAAATCAAGCTCAGGTCTGCTTGGTAAGCCCCCATACCCACAGTGCTGAGTGTTGCACCCACAAGCTTCGCCTTCCACTCTTCCACTAATACCTTTTTCTCAGAGGCACTTTTTTCACTTACTTTGCCTTTTGATAGATGTGCAGCCATTTCTCATAGAGGGTGCCCAAAATGTGGTCTTTTTCTAGTTTCCACAAGGGTACATTGAGACAGGCAGCTCGTCCTAAGCTTAATGCCATTTAGGAAAAGCAGGACCATCAACAATTTTAAATTTACAAATCAATAAGGCCCACCAGTCCAAAACCCTTCTTTATAAGTCTGGTTTTACTACCACAGTAGAACATATAAAACATAAGTGATTTATTCACTCCTCAGATCATCATCATAAAATCATTGTGTACCCCAAGGAAACAGAAGTTTGTAAAGAAGCACAGGAAGAATGATTTTTTTCATTGGATTCTGCTTTTAGCAATTGAATCACTCTTTCTCCTGGTCAGGGTGGGTTGGAAAGATGCAGCCAATTGGCTTCCCTGTTCTGGCTCAGGACAGGAAGCAGAGGGGTCAGATAACTTCCTCTTAACTATATAGAAAAATCAGTGGAATCCATTTGGGCTGCAGATGGGTCCTGCCTGAAGCTCCTGTTCCCATGAACAGTGGAAGGTTGGACTGAGCAGGCAGTCAACACACACACACACACACACACACACACACACCTTAGTGGCTGCCTTCTTGGCCTTTTCTCTGCCTTTTGACATTCCTGCACCATCTCCTCAACTTCTTTCTGCATCTGAGCAACATCAGCCTCCAGTTTCTTCTTCTGGATGAGGAGGCTGTGTTCTAAGGAAAGACAGCATTCCTGTCAGGCAACTTGAGACCAGCAACATAATGCAGGCTGCTTTGTTCAGGACATGCAATAGAGGCAACTATAGACAGGAGGAACTTATCAGAGTCAGTTATATTCACTTAAACAAGAATTCTAACCCAGGTGGATTTGCCACAATAGGCATTTCAAGGGATTTCATTTAGAGATTCAAGAGGAAGATATGGCGGCCTGAATCAGAAAGAAATAGCCTATTGCCGAAACATGGGTTTAGTTTTTAGCTAATCGAAGAATGATTTTCTGCTTTTGCAATGTGATAGAAACAAGTGTCCCAAAGCAGAAGCCAGAGTCCCCTGGAGCCATTTAAGGAGATGGTGGGTAATAAAATTCACAGGTTCCAGTATGCTGCCCCAGAAAGAGAACCAATTCCTCCTCTACTCACCTCTCTTCCTATCTTACTTTGCAGTGAGAAGATGGAGACAGTCGCTCACAAAATCCACCTCCCCCAGCTCTCAGAGCCCCCATTAAGGGAAAGTTTCTGTGTTCTGCAGTTGGTGCTGCCCTAATTCTTTCCTTCCTGAGTTGTGACACAGAAGGCCAAATCCCCTTTGCTGCACCTGCCCTGTGTTTGAAGCACAGCTTTTCAGAGGGTGTGAAACCTGAGCACAAAGAGCATATATAAAAAGCGTGGGCTTTCTGCTTTTTATTCCTCCTTCCATTTCATCTTTTCACATCATCCTTTCACTTTCCTCTAGCTAGAGCCTTTCTCAGGGCAGATTAAGCCCTGAACATAGAAAAGTACTTTAGTTTCACAGGTCTGCCTGCCTCCCCCTTCAGCATCATTAAGACTGCCCCCACTGCACCTGTGAAGAGGCCCGCCCTGTGCACTCTAGGATTTCCACTGCCATTTAAGGTGGCCTGAAGGGATTTCCTAGAGTATTTTAAGGGTACTCACTATAACTGTATAGGTGCTCTTTCAGTGTGAAGAGGACATGAATATAAATATGGATTTGATTGTAATCATTTAAACTTTCCTAGGTAGATGATGTTTAAAATTTCTGCAAGTTTAATGCCCTCCCCCATAGCTTTTTTTTTCCCCCAGAAGGATGCAGTTTAGAGTGTAATATTGCAGCAGGTATTTACATGATTTATGCCCAGATGTCTGTTCTAAGAAAGAGGTCCTTAAGAGCAGTATTGTACCACCTAGACAATGCTGGTCTGAATGTCTTGGGACCTGGGACAACAGCTGAGATCTTGTTGAGCCTCTGTCCTACTGTGGAGCTGCTTGTCTAGTAGGTTTCTTAGTGAGATCTTAGAATTGAAACTTGTGTCAATGATGCTTTTAAGTTTCAGAAAGTCTGCCCAACAGACCCTTCACAATTACCTGTTTCATGTTTCCCCCCTCAAAATCCTGTCCTCCTGCTTTTACTTTGATACTTCCCTCCTCCCTCCTTTCATCCCTCTATTTTTTCAATTTGGAACTCAGTGCATTATCAATTATGATATGCATATTAAATGATTTGTCACCAATAGTTACCACATATTGCAGACAATGGCTAGGATACTTTAAAAAAAAACGTCCGGCATGCCACATTGGGTTAAGATAAGCCTTCTCCAGGGAGAAAGAACATGTTGGGATATTTTTCCCATTGTAGCTGGGTTGGACCCAGGGCTTCATAGACGTAAAAAGGTGAAATGAGTTAGCCTGCTGGTAGTTATGCATACCCTACAGTGTATTTGCTCTTGATTCTGTGTAATCCCAATGAGATTATGTCATTTCATGAACAGAAAGGTTGAACTGTAGGCACAGACTATAAGATCTTATAGCAGGCACATTTCTGTTTTACACATTTCAGAGTAAGGGCACAAACTGACATTCTGGGAAAGGCAATTCTTTGGTGATATGGAATTATGTAGCACCTCAAAGAAGGTTAGCATCTCTGAACACAACCCACAAAATGCCAGTGGCACTTCCCAATCATTGTGGCAACTTAAATGACCCAAGATATCTTCACACCCAAGGGTGGCAGTCTGTCCTTAGCTGCTTGAATCTATCCTTTGCAACGGTCACCAAAGTAAACTTTCTAAAATGTGAAGCTGAAAACATCACCCCAACGACTCACAGTTCTTCAGTGAATCTCTATTATCTGTAGATGAAATTCAGCCTCCCTCAGTCTTAAACCAGTGTCTTGGCCCTACCCGGCTCTCAGCACTATTTGTGTTCCTCTCTCCTACCCACACTGTTCTTTAGTATGTGAATTTGCCTTAAATTCCAAGTTCCCCACCTCTAGTCTCTTACTAATTTTTCTTTCTACCTGTATAACTTTTCCCAATTCTCCCATGTCTTTCATGACCAAAATATAAAATGCTGGTTGACCAATCAGATCTAGGACTGTTGGGGCATCTGCAGGCGTGTGCTTTGTCTATCATACTCATCAGTGCAATACAACTGTTTACTTAGGGCTTCACTGTCTGGGGGCAGTGGAGACATTGTTTACCATACCAAGTGTTAAAAGTCCCAGAGCTGCTATAACAGAACACCACCAATCAATGGCCTTAAACAAGGTTATTCTTTCACAGTCCTGGATGTTAGTCATCCAAAAAGCAAGGTATCTTAAGAGCCATGGTCCCTTTGAATAGTAGGTAACAGCAAGTCCCCTAAAAATGCTCAGTGCTTGACTTACTTATTGTAAGACATTTGTCTAGTTCACTGTGGCTTCTCCTGATTCCAGAAAATGGTGAAGGATCTAGGAATTCTGCTTCATGCCACATAACCTTACGTGAGAAGCCAGAATACATGTCAGCGCATACATGTCAGAGCCATTAGGAACTGTTAGAGGTTCCTGGGATGCTGGGGTAGCAAGTCACTAAAAGAACAAGGGAGCACAAAAGTAGCTTTAGAATATGACATCCCTCATCCATCATCCTGGCTGTGGATGCTCTGACATTCCATTTTTTGAGCAGAAAGCTTAGTGTTATTGGTTGAATTGTATCCCCCACCGCCCCCCACAAAAAATGGGGGGGGGTATATTTAACTTCAAACTTCTACTTCCTCAGAATATAACCTTATTTGGAAATGAGGCTTTAAAGTAGTCAATCAAGGTAAAATGAGGTCATTAGGGTGGGCCCTAATCCCATTTTATGTGTCTGTATAAAAAGGAGAAATTTGAATAGAGACACACACAGGAGAAAGATGATATTAAAATGCATAGAATACCATGTGAAGGCAAGTAACTGGAATGATGTTTCAATAGGAAGACTGCCAGAAAAACACCAGAATCTGAAAGGAACAAAGAAGGGGCCTTCTATAGGATTCAGAGGGACCATGGCTCTTAAGATACCTTGATTTTTGGATGACTAACATCCAGTATTATGGAAGAATAACCTTGTTTAAAGCCATTGATTGGTGGTGCTCTGTTATAGCAGCTCTGGGACTCTTAACACTTGGGAGTGAAGAGTATAGCCATCCTTCCCTCTGCTTCACAACTCTGCCTGTTCCTCTTGTGCCTCACACACTTGGCGTGGCCACCATGCATGGCCTAAGGCTGACCCAACCATGGAAACTGCTGCCTTCAACCAACTGACCCAGATAATGGAGAGAATTAGTGGGTCCCACCTGGATATGGAAAAGATTGATTTTTTTTTTTTCTGTGGCTTCTAGAAGTTCTTTTTCTACCAGCCTGTGCCCACACTCTCTGCTCTTGCAAGGACCTCGGTTCTTCTAGTTCAGACTGAAGAGGGTTGCACTGCTCAGCCACAGCCACCTGCTCCTTCAGATCATTGTTCAGGTGTGTGCTATCATCCAGTTGCAGCTGAAGGTCCTGCAAGCAGAAACACGGGCCTAGGGCACAAAGTCCTCTGAGTTCAACTGTTCCCAGGGGTAGTGGGGAGCACCACCTGTTAGGGAAAGAGGAATTTACTGCTTGTTTGAATTTACTGCTTGTCTGAATTTACTGCTTGAATTTACTTGTTTGAATTTACTGCTTGTAACCAATTAACTCAACTGGAGACACAGGCATCCGGAGATAGGGGCAAGTGCTGCAGCCCCGTAACCTGACCTGTCTGGTCTGTGTCATGTCACGTAGGCATGTCTGCTTA